AGAATGTGCTACGTTTGCGGAACCACTGCATCGGTGGAACACATCCTATGCCTGTGTCCGCAATACCAACAACTAAGGGAGCAGTACGCACTTCTCAACAGCATTAGGGACATACTGGGCGACGAATCTTCCACTTTAGCGACAGTTATTTATTTCCTCAAGGACGCTGGGTTATACAACAACATTTAGGTCCTTTTAACTTTCTTTTGGCTGACGGAACATCTCTACCGGACGGGGGATTACCCCTCCTACGGTGGAGCTCCGATCTCTTTCAAAACCCTACCTAACTTTGATGTACCAGATTGTTTTTTTTTCTTCTCGTTGCCTGTATTGTCAGTCTTTTTACTGGAATCTGTTTTAATTGCTTCTATTTGAATACATGTGAATTGCAAGCCAACTCCGTAACAAAATTTACTGGCAGAACCCCCCTCTGGGGCCTCCTATTTTATAGAGATGAACTAGCCAACGGCTAAAAATCTCTCTAATAAAGTTTAAAAAAAAATGAAAAAGTTGCTGGGAAATTACAAACATTTTAAAGACATTTAGAGATCTCGGGAACTTCAATGATGACACATGATCGTTAGGGAAATTGAAGGAACTTTAGGGAAGTCCAGAGAAGTTCAGCGAAATTTAAAAATTTCAAGGGAAGAGTATAAGAGTTTTTTTTCCAAAACTTTTATGGCCAGCTGAATGCAGACAAGTTTTGCTCATTTCTCAGCTTCAGTTTTAGTGTATGTACATGAATGTACATGCAGGTGTACCTAAATTCCTATAAACTCAGGTCTTTTTTACACGGGGGATACGTACCGTGTAAAAAAAAATCGTGTAAAAAAAAAACCTACGAGATTTTGATTTTTCACATGTTTAAATGTTTTTCAAAAATCGAATTTTGATGCCAGTTGTAATTATAGCATGCTATGGTCCATATAGACATATATAAAAAATTTCTGCATTTACACCAAAAATTGTGATTTTTTTAAAGTATGCCATTCGATTACCTATAGCTCCGCAAAGTGTTACACACGACTGATCCTAGTAAATAAACAAACTAGTTAAAAAAAAAGTCGATATGTTGTATCATTGCCGAGAAATCGTTAAAATCGTACCGTGTAAATCGCGAAAAACCGTGTTTAAAAAACCGTGTAAAAAAGACTTCAGTGTATTATAATTAAGGTCGCTTTTGAATGGGGCGTATGGCTGTGAGGTGGGCGGGGTGTTCGCATCTAAGAAATCAGTGAGTAACCAGCTCTAAATTTACCATGCCAGTACTGGAAACGCTCAAAATCCGACCGATCAGGGCTGGGATTGAATCCAGGTTCACTAAGGAGAAGTTCTTGTTCACTATACAATACATCTTAAAACAATAGTCAAAAGGTACAACACAATAAAAACTTTATCTTCCTCTATCCAAAAAGCCTCCTCCATCAGAACTGGAGGCGCTTCCAGTGGTTTCATTGTATGGCAGCTACGCCATCGTGGGGCAAAGCGCTTCCATTGCAGCAATGGAGGCAATGGAAATGGAAAATAAAATGTGGTCAACACTCACACACTCATCACGAAACGGTTGCTTTCCAAAGTCGACGACGCATCGACCGAAAGAACTGCTGATGAAGAACAATGAGGAAGACCACACAATGGTTGCTGCCGAGAAAACAGACGATCGCGTGGCACACATCGAGAGTGGCCTGCTTTTGTCGACAGCCGTGTGAACACTTACTAAGGAGAAGTTAATTTTGCTTACTCCTCAAGTACTGGTATTTATTTTCAACCGCCATCGCTCAGCTTGTATAGCTTTCTCGTGAATCGATTTCATGAATGAAGATTTCGGGATCGCATCAGGACCAACAGCATTAAACAAATCAAACACTTACTAACAAGCTCAGATTCTACGAGCTCCAGTGAACACACTAGCGCTGATAATCCAACTGCTAGCAAAAATAGTCATCAGCATGATTTAAACGAGTGTACCCCATTAGGCATAAATACGTTAGGCATACAGACGTTAGGCATACAGACGTTAGGCATAATGGACGTTAGGCGTAAAGCTATTAGGCATAAAGTCATTAAACGGCGCCGGTGGTGTAGTGGTAAGCGTGATTACCTCTCACCCCAGCAGGCCTGGGTTCAATCCCAGTCGGCGCCGCCGGGATGTTCTGAGGCATAACATCTCTGATCACGCCTTCCTTCGGATGGGAAGTAAAGCCGTTGGTCCCCGGTTCATGAGTTGATGGGTCGATAGGTAGGGTCCAGGTGTGGGAGCTGCCTTCCTGGCACGTCGGTAGCATTGGTGCTCAACACGGAAAACAAGATCGACGGAAAAAACAAACCAAAGGAAAAAAAAAAAAATAAAGTCATTAGGCATAATGGACGTTAGGCATAAAATACCTTGCTACTGTGCAACTCTAGAAACCTGTTTCGGGCATGGTAAACAATGCTTAAATTCGGCTAAGCGTTGAATAAAAGATGACACAAGTTATACAAACATAGTTTATTTAATAAGCACAGTTTGGAATCCATTATCTATCATCAGTGACGTAGCTACATATTTACTTAGATCCAAGATTCGTAGCGATAGCTGATAAGTAATCTGGCAATAAATACTCAGCATAGTTTTGAACTATATTTTGAAATCAATCGCATCAAAAATAAAAAATCAATTGTTGTAATATATTCTAACAAACATATTGCAATTGTCAAAGAAGAAAAAGTTTTCCTCAAAGAACAGCTCATGAAATAAAGAATGGTGACTTCTGTGATTTTTCATTCAATAACAAAAAACAGCTAAGGTTGAATAAAATATGATGCCAAAGAATAGCTCATGAAATGAAGAATGCTGAATTTTGTGGTTTTTCATTCAATAACTAAAACACACCTGCTGTTTGAAGGATTTACTCTCTTACTTTTCGATACAACGTTTTTGTTGTCAACAAAATGAAAACTAGCTGGAACCGTCTGCGGATGTGAGGAAGCGATACTTCCATGAACAGTGACGAGTTGCCGAAACTAACAAGGAACTGTGGCAAACGTACCATCTGCAACCCAATACTTTGCCTGTCCAAGACGTCGCAAGTTTTCATGAGTCCCAAAAGGCTCTTTCATCATTGTAACCGATGTCAGCAATCAATAGACGGTCCTTATTATCATCCTTCTGGAATTAATCAGGTAGATTATGTCTAACGTCTTTTATGCTTAACGTCCACTATGCCTATCGTACATTATGCCTAACGTCCGTATGCCTAACGTCCGTATGCCTAACGTCGAGTACCCGATGTAAACTGTTTACAGCATCTAACTTTTTCATCAGCATGCGAATTTCAGGCATTGAATTTGCTAGCTGGTTGAGATTTTGGTTTTCAGCATGATTAACTTGCTCGCAATATATAAACACTTTCTTCATGGTGATGGTGATTTTTGCCAGCAGAACCTTAACGTTATTTAATATTCCAATAACTAGTTTTATGTGATATACTGCCGTTATACGCATAACTGTCCCATGTTCTATGCAATCATTGTGCACCGTGGGACTCTTATGCGTATAACGGCAGTATAGTGCTGAATTATTTAACATGGTTTGTATAGACGTTAAGTGCAGCACACATGTTCTATAACGCTTTAAATAACCTTTGTATGACTGGTTTTGGTTGGAAAACAGTTTACTCAACATAACTCTATGAATTTGTGTTACTTGGGAACATCAAGAGTAAATTTTAGAAAAATACTACACTGCAGATGGATTGAATTATGATTTCCCTGGTATGTTTTTATAATAAACTACTTGGACTAGGATTTGCACGGTGTCATTTTGCACCTTATCCATAACCTTAACCTTTGTATCAGTGCAGCATGCTTCTAATCCGTCTAATCGTGTTTTCATTCATGAATATGTACAAAGGAAATCTAATTGTCTATACACCAATCCATTGTCTCCAAAAAGGCACACGATTAGACGACACCACTAACGCAGAACGATTAAAGTGTAATTAATACATCATGAAACGCGCATTAGCTCCTTGCACGAGCATGCACCTAAATATCACTAAAATATCAACTGAATTGAGATGAAACGGAAACGATGATGCTTCTTTAGTTGCAGTAACAAACTAAATAAGTTAACGACGTGGTGCGGAAGCCTTTTGAATGATGCCCTTCTGACAACCCTCTTGCGGTGGACAAATCAGATCTCTTCACTGGCAGTGGATTCTGCGAACTGAGGTGGTTTCAGATAAGGACATCTCATCATGACCTATGGGAAAATGTTTCAAATGTGCAGCCGAAAGCGAGCAGAATTCAAAGCAGGAAAAGGTGAGGCGAACCTTCCATCGAGTAGAGACGAAGAGAAAATAAAGATAGGTAGGTTAAACGTGGAGAATCTTTGCCGATCGTACGTACAGCGTGGCATCGAGTAAAGATCGTCTAACAAGATTTGCAAAGGGTGTCCGAGGGGTGCATTAAATAAATTTGCTTTAATTGGCTATTTTTAGTTATTTTTGAAGTGGTCATAGATGTATACCTTGGGGACGAAAAAAGACATAGAGAAGATATGGGACTGACTTCAATGAATCATTTGAGAGCCCCTTGACTTCTCGCAACCGGTGACGATACTGGTGGGTAGCCGAGGATAGCGATGATTAAACTACACGACCGACGGGCTGCTTGAGCTCAAGCATGTTAGGTGGAGGAAGGGGCAATTTTTTGTCCGAATATTCTCTCACTCAGCGAAAAGACGAAAGACTTGAGTAGGTTCATCGCTTGTGTTGTGTTGTTTTGCACCAAGATTTAGAAGAAGCATCTTTGGGGTGGTGTAGCGTAGGCTGGTTGGTGCGGATGGTGGTAAATCAGCACCATGAGAGATGCCGCATGATGTTTTCTCCCCGGAGAAGGAGAAGCGAAAAAAAGGTGGCAAAAGTTTGGTTTCGGTGTTCTTTCGGTTTGGATCCGACCGACGCGTTTTGTTTATTGTTTATGTTTTTGCGCGATGGTGGTATATAAACGTTTTTCCGACTTCAATGGGACATCATTCGAATAGTTGGGTTCGTCCTTAACGGTGGTAAAAATTGCAACAAGGATCTTCGAGAATCGTTTCACTGAGAAGCACGTAGAATTTTAATCGTCAGGATGAATAAGTTTGTGATCTTTGCTAGCGTGTTTGGAGTGCTGCTGGTGGCAAATGCAGTCCTTTCGGCTCCGGCTCCACAGGCGGATGCGGCTCCAAGATCCGCCGCTCAGGATGTGCAAACCGTGCGATACTACAGTGAAAATAATGGACTAGATGGTTACAAGTTTACGTAAGTGATCCAGCGTGATTGGTGGTTGTGGTGAAGTGTGGTATAAGAACATTACTGAAGTCAGTACGAGCAAATCAAGTATCAAGAATATTTGAGTAACACGATGGGATGAAGAATTAATAGGATAACTCTCGGAGACGAAAACTGAGTTTTATTTAATTTGATAGAGTTCTTTACGGAATTGATGAGATGTATCGAACGTGTTTAAGACTTATATATTTCCAACCATTAGTTTGTGCTGGAAAGGACATATAGTGTTGACCAGGATGCATGAATAAGTGCTTAAGTTGTTGCGCAAGTATGGCTCGAACATTTGGGGTGTCAAAACGGCGTTTTAAATATGGTTGATCTTATTAATGTTGAGGAGGTAAAAGTGCTTTCCCTCCAAGTCTCTACACCCAACAGAATGATGTTAGATTCGATTCTATTACAGATTTAAATGAAAAGTATACAGAATTTGCAATATTTCGCGGCGTAAACAGTTTCTGTAATGTGTTCGCTGCAAGAGTTTTTAAGTAATTTTGTAATTTTTATGTTGGATTATTTTTCGAGAAAAGTTTGTTTCCCAAAATGTATTGCGTCTAGAAAATCATCTCGTGAATTTGTTATATATATAATATGCATTCTGGAAAAACTTGCTTACAAGAACTGCCATTAAATTTGTTGTATGAAACATATGGAGAGCATGTACTAAATCCTACCTTACATTGGATGTAAGAGAAATTTACTTTGCCTGTATGGTAGGTGTTTTTTTTTTCATTTAGTCAGTAAGATGTGATGTAGTGTCGAGGAATTTTCTTAACTTCTCTTGACGTAGAGAACGCAAAAAATTTACAGACTTAGAAAGCTCTTCTTCAATTACTGTGAAAGTGCTACTAAAGAACTATGTACAAGCAAAGGAAGCATATCAAGAAGATTGACAAATTTTTCAGAATCCAAATGGTTAATTTAATACCACTGCTTAGAAACATGAGCCAATACGCAAACTTCATTGTTGACGATGCCGTCTTCGTTCGCAGCTTTAATCTTTAAGCGGTTGATGGCTTATAAGAAAGTGTTAGAGTGGCCGGTCTTCTTGATATGTTGTATTCTGTATAAGGCTGGAAGCTTCAGTTTCAAATCTGAAATAACGTAATCGGCGTTTGTAGAGATCAATTCAAATGTTAATTTCTTAACAACAAGGGCCAGTCTATTCTAGTATTTAATTAAATCTTAAAGATAAATCGGTGCCAACATTTTATAAGAGCTGTTGTACCAAAATTTTCAAATTTTTAAATATATGATTTAAGTTTAAAAGGTTATGTTCAGAATTTATAATATTTTTTTTTAACTTCGGAGTCTTAAAGAATTTTAAAATAGCTTACGATCCTAGAAAATTTCCTTTTACCAGCAGCTGGAAAATTCTCTCAAGCTAGTATTTTGAACATTCTTCAAATAACTGGATCCAGGAAATTTTCTGTTGGACGCAATCTTTATACCATAACAGCAAAACCTTCATCAATCTTTACCATTTTGTGGACAGGCATATATTTTGGGATAAAGAATCAACCAGCAGGGTGGCCACAATTAATGCAAATATTTTTTTTTCAAAATGAAGCACCCTAGTCGCGAGTTATAATATATCGAACGGTTGAAGTCGATTGATCCTGATAGACGTTAAGACTTGGTATAATTTCATCAATTGTAAAACTTTCTAACTACTTTCAGAACTTTATAACTATGCCTTTTTATGACTTTCGGCCACTATTTGTGTGTGTGTGTGTGTGTGTATTCCCTCTAACCCCCACTGGCCGGCAGTGTTATTATGGAAGAACTCTCTCTACAATGTCGCATTTATGGTCATTGTAGACAGCTTTAGTCCGGGAGTTAGAAGGTGATAGCTCTATTGCAGATCCAGCAACCCATTTCAGAATGTCTGGAGAGTCACGCCCATTCCGAGGTTACTTTCACTCACAATAAGCCCCGCATGTATGCATCACCGTTATCAAATGGATATTGGTGATACATACACACTTCCAGGTTCGAAAATATTCTTTTCAACCCTGGCATGTATTTAGCGTAATTTTTTTTTTCTTTTTTTTTTTTTTTTTTTTTAATAAATGGAAAGCTCTCACCATATTCTGCTCTCCCGCCGTCGTTATTTGCTTATTTTGGAATCCCTTGGACTTTTTCTCTAACGCTTCGTATTTCATTCCGTGCTTCACCGGCAATTTCCTTCCGTAGACCGTCCTTGGTTGGTTGGTTCTAATATGATTCCGCATTTTTTGGTCGGTTTGATGTCCACCATATGTTATTGAATTGCCATGGTGATCTGGGACGAGGCTCACGTCCAAAGTCACTGGTCCATCGAGCGATCCGTTTGCGAAAGAAGAATGAAAGAAATACGAAAGGGATCAGTTTCAAGAAGTTACAGTTTCATCAGATTCCCCAACTAACCATACTCAAGCACAGTAAGAATATACAAGCTATATTGCGACTATATGGTTACTTGGGTACTCATATGGCCGTCAGAATGGTTCATCGGTTGCGAAGTGAAGTATTTCTGAAAGTGATGCGTAATATTTCTCAATGTTTTGAATTTATCCTAACGTTACCTCAATGTTATTTCACAGACAAGCATACACAACACATTGAAAATTTATAATTGTAAACCCTACCGCCATCTGTCGTATATACTTTAATGGGCAATACACTCAACAGATGGTTGTAGTGTGTAAACGTCAAACGCTAGGGAATTGATTATGTGCACCACAAATGGCAGTACTACCAACTAAAAAACATTTAAATTGACCGTTAAAAACGATTTTTATGAACGTTTTAAGAGTGTTATGTCTGCTTTTCTGTGATCATACCTTCACTATCGCAACTTCGGGTAATCTGCGGAAGTACTTGCATTTTTCTCAGGCACTTTTGAGCTAACTGCAATTACTCTCTCATACTCGAAATGTGCCACGACCAAATTGGCACAACGACGCCCTATACGCTCTCTGACCGAAGCGCAGGGTTATGACTTTCGGCCACTATTTGAGCTAAAAATTTAAATATGATCTAGTTTAATTAATGTAAGTTCCAAATTTTGAAAACGACGCTACTAGCAGAATTCACGAAAAAAATCACAGAATATGAAGCTTTAAAAGGTTTTATATGCTCCATGATTATTGAATGTGTAGCACCAAGATTTTAGGAATTTTAAAATTTAAGGATCATTAACATTTATGTTTTGTAAAAGTGGTTAAATTATTCATCTTCTTCTTCTTATTTTTCTATGTATTTCAAGTTTATTGCTTATCACATATCAGCTTATTGCGTGCTCTCAAATTAGTGTTCTAGACGCACTTCCACAGTTTTTAATTGAGAGCTTTCGATGCCTGTTCCATTTTTGAATTAATATAATTGTGTGGCAAACTTGTTAAACTTGTTCAAAGCTCTACCTTTCACAGCAATGATGCCAAACAAACCCTAAACTGTCACCGTCAGTCGTTTCGTTGATTTAAGAAGTGTTTGCGGGTCTTTGGGTTACATTTACGTAGTCGATACATTTTCTGTGATAATCGACTGCCTTTGCTTCCGACACTTGCAAAACAAGCTATCAAATTACAGTACCAAACTAAATAGAGCCTGTCATATGACATACGAGCTGCTGATGTCGTGCTTGTGTGTATTTTGAAAATAGCAAGCAACGACGTCCTATTAATAACATTTCTGATCAGAAATGGTTTAATTTACACCAAATTGAAGAATTATTACGAAATCATATATCACATATGTCATATGATAGTTATTTGAAAATTTTATTTTTGCTCGAATGTTGTTCTACCGTTTGTGTTGTGTAAGAGAGATGACGGTAGAGCATGAGAGTACGAGTACAAAAAGGATGTCGCGCACGACAACGAAGCGAGTGTAGTAAAAATCATCAACAGTTTCCACCCCTGTCTAATAGCGAATTCGTTTATTATTCAGTTTCAACCTGGATCGGGTATCGCGATTGGGTCTGCTTGCTTTCTGACAAACGTCAGTTTGATCGTTTGTTTTTAAAACCCAGCTCAGGTTGAGGTTCACACTTACAAAAAGTTCGGTTTCGCACTGGTTGGAACTGGTTCCAACCCCGATAATAATCGAATTCGCTATAAGAGTAACCTTCAGCGAGATTTCACACTACTTTGCACGCTAGTGATTCAAATGAGAAACATGTTTTAGCTTGATTTCCCCTGTTTATTTCATGTTGGTCCATGTTTAATGTAATGTGAATTGGCAGTACAACATTAGATCAGAGTCGCAACCATTGTTAGCAACTACAATTTGCAATGCACCATCGTACCCAAGTAACATTGCAGGTTTTATCGCGGTTTTATAGCATTCTACAAGTCTAAATCATGGTCTACAGAACCCTCATAAAACCAAAATTGTTACTTGGGTAGTCACATAAACCCCGCAACGTGGGTAGATCACCTTTTCGTGGTACACAGCAAAAAATTAATTTTGATATCACATCAAAGTGGATGCACCTCAATCGTGTCGAAAATATGGTGTAATATTACTCAAACTAGGGGAACAAGTTTTTTCAGTAATCAAAGGAACACAGCTTAGTTCTTGTTACTTTTTATGCCTAGGTGCTTTGTCTTGGATGATCTTGAAACAAGGAAAACAATGAGTTAGTTAGTTTTCATGTTGGTTCTTTAACTATATTTATGTATGTACTATTTCTACGTGAAGTTAACGATTTTTCAGAGTTGAAGATGCAAAGTTTCGAATAACAGACTTAAAGTAGTCATTTTTTACGATAGATGAGGAGATGAAAGTATAGAGTTGATAGTTCCATTAGAGTACGGTAGTGTGGTGAGGGGTATCTCCCCCGACCACCACTGGCAAAAGAGATGATCTTCGATGTGCGGAAACAGTTCTATCGATTGTTTCACACTCAAGTCGTCATGTGACGTAATAATCTAGTCAATAGGTTTGGAAATTGCAGCTGGGTAGTGGGGAGCTAGATGGGAGCTTAC